TGACTTTGCAATATCAGTTAATATGAGTTGGTTTGTTTGGCAGCATATTGCTTGTAACAGTCACATAATATGAATTCCTGTTTTGATTTGTATAACGCATAAAGACATAAATTGATTTGCATAAAACATAAATTGATTTGCATATTTAACACACTACATAATTTCAAAATGGTTCTAAAATGAAATTGACATGTTCACAAGATGATTCCAAAATGACATTGCACAACACACTACATAATTCCCAAATGATTCCAAAAGGTTCTAAACTGACATTAACATGTTACATAAACATGTTCAAGATACATTATATAATACCAAAATTAATTCAAAATGAATTAACTAGACAAAGGCTAAATAACACTAGATGTTCTTCTTAGGCGTGATTCTCTTGGATGGAATAAACCTCCTGGTTGTTGGGCCAACTACATTCTTGGTTGCAGATGATTTTGTTGTTGGTCATGGGGGCACAAATGGTATTCTTACACCTAGCTTCTGTGTCTTGCCATTTCCTTAAGTTGGAGTTCTTTTTGCTACATTGACTTGAGTAGCTAGCCTTTTCCCTTGAGTTGATTGACTTGCCTTACCCTGATATGACTTAGCCGCTTGAGTAGTTGACTTTTTCCCTTGAGTGGACTGACTTGCCTTGCCCTGAGATGACTTATTTGGTTGAGTAGCTGGCTTTTTTCCTTGAGTTGACTGAGTAACATTCCTACTTCCTTGAGTTGCAGTGTCCTATGATGGTTAGGTTGTATTACCCTGGGATAGTTGGGTTGCATAGCCCTAATATGGTTGGGTTGTTGGTGTAACCTTACAAGTTGATTAGTTGTGTCCTTATTTTTTGCACCTACCTCACTTTACTATGAACCATGTTCTTCTCATTTTTCTGTCAGTCTCATCAATCTCCCATTGTTCAAGGTTCCTCCTTTTCTTTGCTCTACCAAGCATCTTTATATACTTAGGTAGCTGGACATTCAGATACAGTGTTTTAACCCAAAGATTAGTTCTCATCATAGGATAAATCACATGCCTGTAGACTGCCATATACCTAGATTTCTTGTAGTACTCAGGGATATAATCATCAATGTTAAAGTTCCTACTTTTCATAGCTGACAATGCATGAACACATGGAAGTCATGTGAGCTTTCATCTTTTGCAAGAACATGTGTAGTCTTTCAAATTTATAGTGAATGTTTTTGCTGGGTTTTCAATATGCTTTACTTCAAACATGTCTTCATCCAACATTCTACAAATGTTTAAAATATCACAAAAATGCATAATAGTCATTGCTATAACTACCAGTAATAACCAATGTTTCATACTTGACAAGCCATAAGTTGGTGAATGTGTTTTTCTACCAATCTTCCTTCTAATGTTAGGAAAAATCTCATCATCAGAGACATTTTCTAACCTCGCCTATTATTTGTCCATCTCTCCATAATATAGGTTCTAATTTCTTCCAGCATAGTGACTAATGGTTTAGCCCTCGACTCAAGAATAACACTATTAAAAGACTCTGACATGTTATTGAGAACAACATCACACTTTTTAGTTGTCCTAAAATATGATCTACTCAAATATCTTGATGGGGTCTTCATCATATGGAGATATTCATCTTGACTGATCAATCTCATTTCCCTCATCTCTCTTTCCCAAGCTTGTGAGTATGTTGACTTTACAACCCTCCATATAATTCCCTTCAACATCTTTCCAGGATACTTCTTCATGAAATTGTTATACAAATGCCTCACACATAATCTTTGTTTAACATTAGGCAAAAGATCTTCCATTGCAGGTAAGAGACCCTGCAAAACATTAGGCAAAATCAAATGTTAGCAAGGTTAAATAATAGGAAAAATAATGTAATAAAAAGAGGAAACAACAAGTTTGTATACATTTTGTTGGTCTGAAATGAATATGTATGAGAGACATTCATTTCTACCTTCTAAGTCATTAATCAACAGCTCTAAGAACATGTATAGTTATCCTTATTTTCACCCTCCACAATAATAAATGCTATAGGAAGCATCTGATCAATAGGATCCCTACATATTGCTGCCATAACTTATCCTCCACAAAGCCCCTTCAAAAAGTATCCATCCATAACTATGACATGTCTACATAATTTGAAGCTCTCTTTACATGTTGCATAACATATGTACAACCTTATAAAAAAAGGTCTTTGATCCTCAACACCTTCTTGAACATGTTAAACATTTAGCTTAGCTGCCGACCCTGAATTAGATCTTAAAAGTTCATGACAATAGTCATATATTCTAGTGTAATCCCCCAAGAAAGAACCATCAACCCTGTCCCTAGCAGCAAGTATTTCTTGTTTACCCATACATTCCACTTCTTCAATGCCTTTTCCTTAATATCCTTTACTTTCATCCTAGGATTGTTTTTCAAGGAATTCTAAATTCTCTTGCTCAACCATTTTGTACTCATCGTCTTCACATTAAACTCTCTGCTACAACTATGTTTGTCAATTACCTTCCTTACTTGCCAAGATTCTTCATTTATCAATTTGGCCCAATAGAACTCTCACTTACAATCATATTTACATCTCACCCTCACCTTTTTTTGTCATTTTTTTTAACTTCAGGTCTCTACCATTTTGAATAGCATATGAGGTTATTGCTTCCTTAATCACACTTTTTGAAGTAAAATACATTCCTAACTCCCATTTGTAATTGGACATATCCTTTTATATCCTAAAAATTAGGTACTTCTTCCTTTTAGCTCCACTACTATCATCATCCTCACAACCACTTTGCAAATTTTCACTATATTATCACTCCCTTTACATTCTTCTTTATCCTCTTCCCACTTTTTTCCCTTTTCCATTTTCATCACTTTCATATCCAATCAGATTATCAACTTCATCTTCCTCCATCTCATTAGAGTCATCCTCAAATGATACTTCCATGACACTATCATAATGGTAGTTGTCATTGTCACTGTCATCAAAATTGTACTCATCATGCACCTCACCAACATTATCTGATACCACTCCAACATTGACTTCCTTCACTCCAACATTGACATCTTTCACTTTAACATTGTCTGATCCCACTCCAACATTGACATCATTCACTGCAACATTGGTTAAGTCCACTGCAACATTACCTTATTCCATACTAGCATTACCAACATTCAGCTCATCCACAATGTCATCATGCAGTTTATTAAGCAACTCTTCCACCTCATCTATAATGTTACCAATACCCTCTTCAACAACACCATCACAATAATTAGGCTGAGACAAAGTGTGTTGAATGTAGATGTCAACACTTTGGTGCACCCTATAAAGATCTTCAATTTCCAAAGCACATTTGTCTTTAACAAGGACATTCATCCCAAATGTAGGGTCCTTGTAATATATTGTCTCAAAGTCCCCATGACCTAACTCTTTCAATACACCAACTAACTCGAAATAACTCCACTTATCAACATATATTTTCAAATCATCTACTAGTCCTCCTTCATAAACATTTAGCTTAGGATCAACAAATTGACCAATGTGATGAATTTTGAGTTTTAGAAATTCGCCCATTTTTTCCTATATTGAGTTTCAAATAGAGTACGTCAAAACCCTAAAACATAAAAATCTCTAAATCTACAAAAAAATCCTAAATCTACAAATCTACAGAAAATCCTAAATCTACGAAAACATGCAAATAATACTTACCTATGATCGAAATTTCGTCTTGAGTTCTTCAGTTCGCTTGATTTTTCCAGTTGCTTAGAGTTTGTCTTCAATCGCCTCAATCGCCTTTGTGTATCTGCAACTATTTGTGTTCCTTCGTTATGAACAACAACATAACCTTTTCAGTTTACTTTATTGAAATATCCACGTCAACACAATGTTTCTGAAACTATCATGGGTCACATATCCACCTCATCTAGTAACATGTCACTTGACATCTATTTTTGACTTTGACTAACGTCCACTAATAAAAGGACAAACGTGACAAAGTTTCTAAAATTAAAGAACTGAAATGACAAAATAATAATAATAATAATAGATCCAAATAAACTAAATGAACTAAGAGTACAATTAAGAAAAAAAATTTTTTTTGTCTTTAATAAAATATTTCAATTCACGAGTTTATTTATAGTTTTAAGAATCAGAAGGTTTCAAAAACATATTTTTATAGACATCTTTATCAATTTTATAAATTTTGAAAAAATTCAAAGAGTAGAAAAAACGAATCTCTGCAATATATGTCGGTGATTGGACTGGCCCATATGTTAGAAAAAAACCGAAAGATTTACTTAAATTAATGTTTTTTCTTTCTTCTCTGTCAAATGTTTTTAATATTTATATATTACTCTTTTTTCCTTAATTCTACTAATTTTTCTTTTCCTTATTAATAATGGTGATATTTTTTTTGTTTATTTTAACATAAAACTATATCTTTTTAATTTATAAAATTGATAAATTGATTTACTACTATAACCCAAGAGGAAGTACTCAATGTCCTTTTGCAAATAGTTTTTAAAATTTTTTAATTGTTGTTTTTAAATGTAAAATAATATTAATTATTTTTTTAACAAAATTGATTTAATGAGAATGTATTACCAATGTAAAAAAGTATTATATATACATTCAATTAAAATATTTTAAATTATTAAATCCTATAAATAATTTAAATTTATAAAAAATAAAATAAAATAAAATAAAAAATAAAAAATAAAAAATAGAAATAAAATAATAAATAAAAAATTTAAATGATAAAATAAAATAAAGAAAAAGAAAAAGAAAGGAGTAGTAAATATTAGACGGTAAGACAAATTGCATATGGTTTGTTAACTAAACTCTGGCATTATCCCACCATTGACTGACGAGTGTTATATCGAACATTAGAATTAAATATTAAAAAAAGAAGAGTGTAAGGTGGTGAGGTACAGAGGAGATGAAAAGGAAGTGAGAACACAAGAAGAGAAGAAAGAGTGAAATAAAATCGAGAATCCGAAAAAAATAGATAGATCTGAGAAAAATGTCTCGGGGTAGTAGTAGATCTGATTCAGGGATATGGTTAAGATGGTGTTTGGTTTTGTTTGCAATGGTATCCGCTTTCGGTGTGTGCGGTCCTGCTCTTTACTGGAGATTCAAAAAAGGCATCGCTCTTCGCAATTCCAAAACCTCTTGTCCTCCTTGCGTCTGTGATTGTCCTCCTCCTCTCTCCCTCTTCCAACTCGCTCCTGGTATTTTTTATTTTATTTTCCCAATGTTTTTTTTTTTAATTCCATTTTGAATGGATCTAACTAACTAGTTTCATTTCTATCTTACACAGGGTTAGCTAATCTCTCTGTCACAGGTTAGGGTTTCTTTTTATGCATTCTCTAGTCTTTTACTGTTACTTTTATGTTATTTCAAATTTAAGCTGAATTATTAAAAAATCAATTGGGTATGATTTAACCTATTGGTTTGAAATTGGTTTGAAAGCATATGATTTTTGTTCAAATAAAATATTAGATTGTTGGCGGGTAGTTAAATACTTGGATGAGAGAGACCTAAAAAACCATGAAGAATATAGAACTGAATAATTTTTTGTCACACGTGATTTACAATAAGACATTATGGTTTCATTTGATTCATATAGCCAATTTTACTTTTTATTGTTGTATACTTTTTGGCTTTGTAAATCATTCCCCAACTCATTGTGCCGTATCCATCAATTTGCAATATAGACATAGGTATTTTTCCGGTCAATTGGCTCCATTGAATGTTGGATTATGTGAGCTATTGATCAAGATTCTGAAAGGTTCATCATGCATAAACTTGTTGCTAGGCTGTTGCTGATGCATATGAATGACATCAGTTATGATTATGAACAGATTGTGGAGGCAATGATCCGGAACTAAAGGAGGAGATGGAGAAGCAGTTTGTGGACCTTCTAACGGAGGAGCTAAAGTTACAAGAGTCAGTTTCTCAAGCGCACACGCGGCATATGAACATAACTTTGGCCGAAGCAAAAAGAGTGGGGTCTCAATACCAAAGAGAAGCAGACAAATGTGTTGCTGCAACTGAAACGTGCGAGCAGGCCAGAGAGCAGGCTGAAGCCCGGCTCACCAAGGAGAGAAAACTGACTTTGATATGGGAGAAACGGGCACGCCAAATAGGCTGGGAAGGAGAATAACTGGATCATGTTTATTATTTTTTATAGAAGTTATTTATATGGTTATAATCATCATTTTATATATAAGCATACAAGCAAAATGCTTGAGTTGTCAAATTATTCTCCTTTTACTGTGTTTGTTTGTGACTGCATATGGTGCTAGAATCAACAATTTTTCCCTCACTGATGAGTGATGATACCAATTCATGATCCCACATGGGAAAAATGTAAACAAAGAATCTTGCCAGATATACTACTTATGACCTCGTTTAATATACGATCAACAAATTCTGTCGGTTGGGCTGCCATTGGTTCATTCCTACATTTTCTATTATTTTTCTCAGCATTCAAATGAAGGGCAAACTGTCATTTTGGTTCTCAGAAGTGTTCTAAATATGTCGAATACAACAATTATATTTTTTAAATAATTATTTTAGTCAACAAATCAACTTTTGGACAGTAAATTTAGTTCTTCGGTGTACTTTAATTTGTGAATGGATCTCAAGAAAAGGGTCAACTAAAACATGAGAATTTGTCTTGTGATGCCTCACTCATACCTGATACTTGATACTCCATTGCAGTACTTTTATTATATTACTTGCATATTAAAAAACCATTTCAAATTATTTTTTTCAAAAGTTGTGCATCATATCAAATTTTTCGAACCAACTATATCAAATTTTAATAAGTATACAACTTTACCGGCAATTTATTTTTTATACTTGACTTTTCACTAAAAAAAAACACTATTTTTATTGGTATTTTTGAACTGTCCGGTAAAAATTAATATTTCTCATGTATTTTTACATGATATTTATGGTTAATGATTGATGTTTGAGGATAAGCTTTTTTTTTTTTTTTTTTTTTTTTTTTTTTTTTTTTTTTTTAATATTTAGAGTCTTAAAAAACTATATAGCATTTCAGAATTTTTTTTTACTCAACTAGGTTAGTTTGTAAACAAGTAACTGACTTTTTAAAAAGAGTAGAATCCTAAAATTATATGCATATATATTATCATTAATAAATAAAATTACTTAGCTAGCAACTAGAGTCATAACAACAAAAAGAAACCAAACTCATTACAAACCACAGCAGCCCCGACCACCCAAATACAAGAACAACATCATCCTCGCCAGAAATCAAAAATTAAACATAACCTAACTAAAAAGAAGACCTGATGTTAAATCAGATGCCTCAGCCAATTATAAACATATATTGAGTTTGGGGTAGCCTTCGCCTCTATGCACTTAAGGTATCTCTTGTAACTCATATTCACGATTGTTAGAAGTTGTAATTCATTATTTTGTAAAAAACATGTATTTGTCTGAGATGTGTATGACATAGTCGAAATAGAAAGTCTAATAGAAGTTAATTGTATTCAACTGAGTCGAATACAACATATAATTGTTGAGTCAAAGTTGAAATATAATTTGTATGTTTTGGATTTGGTCATTGGTTGCATATAAATTGGCAGATTATTTTGTAAACAATTTTAGTAGTTGTAAAATTTAACAACTTCACTCAATATAGTTTTATCTCATTTCTCTCATTTTCTCTTCTTCTTCATTCTTATTGAAACTCTAATTATTTCATCTATTCCAGTAAATTAGTATCAATGAGCCCGATTGCGATTCAGAGAGAATTTGTAATGGAAAAGAATAATACAACATCAACATAATTTCCAGTAAATATACCGGGTTTCAAAGGGAGAACTACGAGAGGTGAGTTACGCAAATGAAGGTCATCTTTAGATTTCAAGATGTGATTGAAATTGTGAGAAGATCATTGAAGAAGAAACAACAAGGTGTGCGCAAGGAACGAAGATAGAAAGATGGAAAAGCTCTGTTCTTGATCCGTCAATGCATGAACCCTAACATGTTTGAGAAGATCATTGAAGAAGAAACAACAAAAAGAGTGTGACACAAGTTTAAAAAATTGTACGACAAAAATGAAAAGCTGAAGAGTGTGAAGTTACGGACGATGAGAAAACAATTTGAGATGACTCAGATGAAAGAAAACGAGTTAGTTTCAGAATTCTTTATGCGTGTGGTGTCGCTAACAAACCAGATGAAGATGAATGGTGAATCAACCACTGTTCTGTAAAAGATTGAAAAAGTGTTGAGATCTCTGACTACAAATTTTAATTACATTGAAGAGTCCAAGAACTTAGCTATGATGAAGGTGGAAGAACTTCAAGCTTCATTGGAAGCTCATGAGATGAGACTGAAGCAGAGGAGCTCAGAAAGGGAGAAAGTGGATGAACAAGCATGAGACGCCGCAAGTGCACGACTAATGTCAAAGTAGTAAAAAATATCAAATCACAAAGACCAATGGTTAAGTACTGATTTATATCCTATCGATGTAAAGCTAGAGTGACCGAATAATGAGTTTTGAAAACAACTTAAACAGAAAAGCAAAACAGCTTAAAAACAGGTAAAGATTATATAAAGCAAGCATGACATAGGGTTATGAATCCTATCCTAGACTTCTCCACATGATCTAAGCATTTATATTATGGGAATTCTGACTCAATTTATAGAAAAATAGTTAAAATAGCAACACTTGTTCTCGCCAGCGTATTGCCCTACCTCTAACGAACGGGATACTCTTAGGCTCTTGCTCACGCAGAAATGTTCGTTAGTGGTCTTTACTTTTGCATAACTATTAAATACAGGACCTTTCTCAATTTTCTTCGATCACTCTCAGAACTCAGATTTAACTGTTTAAAAATGTGCTTTCCGATATTGTCTATATCCTCTCGGCGCAAGTCAAATACCTAAAGGCAATACTCCTACTCTTGTAGCAAGTTTTAAAAAATACTTAGAATTTTAAAATAAAGAGTATTAAATTCCTGCAACTAGCCTAGGTCATGAAAATAATCAGACGGTAGTGTTCATAACCTTTAGTCTCTAGAGGACTACTCACTCATATTTAAGAACAATTCAATCACAACAATAATCACAAATAAAAACATGATCATTAGACGAATGATTAAAATAGTAATTGAGAACTTGATTAATGAAAAATCAATTATTTTATTAAAATTTGATCCAGCAGCTCTAATGGAGACTTGTACAAAATTGCAGAATGAAAAGCGTGAAAACATAATGGAAATTAAAAATTGGATAAAAGTTCAAAAGTACCTATGAGTTTTTATACGAAATCCTAATTATGCTAGGAATGTCCTAGAAATCATTGTCAATTACAAGTGTTTAAGATCAGATCCAAGCAATTAAAGAGCCTTGAAGTGGAGAGAATCAGATCAAATAGAAAAAAATCGTGAAAACTCGTGCTCCTTTTACGGGACGTAACAGCTGTTACGGGCACCCATAATAGACCTACGAATTTTGTATGAAGTGCAAGTTTTTGAGGGCTTGGATGTCTTCTCCTGTTATGGGTCGTAATGGCTATTATGGGCACCCGTAACAGGCCTCTAGTTTTTGTATTGAAATTTTTTTATTGTTGCCTTTTTCCTTGTTTTGCCCATTATTTGTCCCTTTTTCACTTGGAATGCATATCATGACCTGAAAACAAGGGAAACACCATACCAAAGCATAAAACATAGAAAAACAAAAGGAAATCAAACAAAAGCGGTGTAAAAATTATATAAAAACTACTAATAAAAGCAACATAAACCACTTATCAAAGCACTACAAGCAAAAATCATTAAGAAATCTAGAAAAGAGAAAGCGGAACAAGAAAATAATCTTTCTAGTGATGAGAAGTCAAGCAAGAATTCAAAGAATCACTCTGATTCAACCAAGAAATATATGAGCAACAAGTATTTTGGGAAGAAAGTTGACATGAAGGAGGTGCAGTGTTACAATTGTCAAGGATTTTCTCGTGGAAGTGGCTATGTGTTTTTCCTTAATAGGCGGCAAGGATGTTCTCGTGGAAGTCCAACCATGTATATTGCCTTAAGAGACGACAATAATCTTCTCATGGAAGTTCGGCTATGTGTTTTTTCTTAATAGGCGGCATGGATCTTCCCGTGGAAGTCCAATTTTGTGTATTGCCTTAAGAGATGACAAGGATCGTCGCGTGGTAGTCCAACTATGTATTTTTCCTTAAGAGGCAGAAAGGATCTTCCCTTGGAAGTCCAACTATGTGCTTTGTCTTAAGAGGAGACAAGGTTCTTCCTATGGATGTCCAACTATGTATATTACCTTAAGAGGCGGAAAAAATCTTCTCGTGGAAGTCCACTATGCATATTGCCTTAAGGGGCGACAAGGATTTTCTCATGGAAGTCCAACATATGTATCTCCTCGAGGTACAGAAAGGAATTTCATAATGAAGTCCATCATAAAAAGCATTTTAAAGAAAACGTATCCCTTCCAGAAACAAAACACTTGAATAATATCATTCTCACCCATGCACCTCAGCACGGGAGTCGCCTTCCCCATTCTATGAAGTTTCCCTGAGAGTACTAGGGTATACTTGGTTGATTTTATCCTGATCTGTCTTGCTTCTCCTTCATCTGACGAGAGTTTTCTTGACTGTAGATAGTACAGTAAGGGCGATATCCAACTGAAATCAGAGATGAGTTATCCTTCAAAAGACAGAAAACACAAGGATAGATTTCATATCTTTTATACATATTTTATCAACTAAGACTCGTTGGCCTGATAATGTCTTGAGATATGATTTGCGAGTAACTAGGACTCACTTTTGGGCTTCATCCGGGTGTGTCGCTACGCGAAAAATGACACAGAGTCGCCACCGGATTTTATTTATCCCAAGGAGGGAAAGAGAAATAACGATAAAACCTTTTGGAAAAGAGCATGGTCATCGCAACCAAGTTTTAGGGTTCGGGAGTCGTTTATGTGAGGGAAAGATATTAGCACCCCTCACATTCATCGTACTCGATGGAAACCTTCTAAGTTATCTAGCTTGAATGGGTGTTTTAATCTAAAAGTTTGCTTGCTTAAAAAAAAGAGGGGTTGGGTTTTTATTAGAGTGCTCGCTAAGGAATGTGGTCCTTGTGCTTACGTATCCTCACTTAAAAGAAGTGAAGAATCAGA